CCATCAATGACAACAATCCGTCCAGGCCCTGAGGCAGCAAAGCAGCCCCAAACCATGATGCTCCCTCCGCCATGTTTTACAGTGGGGATGAGGTTTTGATGTTGGTGTGCTGTGCCTTTTTTTCTCCACACATAGTGTTGTGTGTTTTCCCCAAACAACTCAATTTTGGTTTCATCTGTCCACAGTATATTTTGCCAGTCGTGCTGTGGAACATCCAGGTGCTCTTTTGCAAACTTCAAACGTGCTGCAATATTTTGTTTGGACAGCAATGGCTTCCTCCGTGGTGTCCTCCCATGTACTCCATTCTTGTTTAATGTTTTCCTTATTGTAGATGTGTCAACAAAAATGTTAGCATGTGCCAGAGATTTCTGTAGGTCTTTAGCTGACACTCTAGGATTCTTCTTTACCTCAAGAAGCATTTTGTGCTGTGCTCTTGCAGTCATTTTTACAGGACGACCACGCCTAGGGAGAGTAGCAACAATGCTAAACTTTCTCCATTTGTAGACAGTCTGTCTTACCGTGGACACATGAACATCAAGGCTTTTGGAGATACTTTTGTAACCCTTTCCAGCTTCATGCACGTCAACAATTCTTGATCGTAGGTCTTCTGAGAGCTCTTCTCTGCGAGGCATGGTTCACATCAGACAGTGCTTCTTGAAACCAGTAACCCCATAACAGGTGTGTGTTTTTAAAGGGCAGGACAGCTGTCAGCAACACATCCAATATCATCACACTGATTGGAGTCAAGGTTGGCTCACTCTTGGTTCCAATTAGCTCTTGGAGACGTCATTAGGCTAGGGGCTCACATACTTTTTCCTCCCTGCACTGTGAATGTTTACATATTATGTTCAATTAAACCATGGCAACATGTAATGTTTGTGTATTATTATTTTCAGCAGACTGTGTTTTCCAATGTTGTGACTTAGATGACATTCAGAGCACATTTTATGACCAATTCATGCAAAACTCCGCGTTATCCCAAGGGGTTCACATACTTTTTCTTGCAACTGTACCTTATATTATTATGAGACATTGTATTTATAATTTACATCAGCTAATGGTGGGGAGGGGGAATGTGTTGTTTGTCTGTGGAATGGTCAATTTCTCCAGATTGGTTTAGCCAAGTGTCTTTTTTATTAACTGCTCCCAATTATGTACAATTTCAGCCCCCCCGAATTAAAGATAAATGATTGCTCAGATATTCCATTCTTTCTAATAATTTAATTTCTCATTATTTTTGTTAGAAGGAAGAAATGCAGGACAAAATAAAGTGAAAATCTATTTTTGAATTAAAACTAGCTTTTGTAAGCCTGTCTTTTTGACAGTTTGTAAAAACCTGTGGATATTTTGTGCTATGCTTCCATGTTGCTATATTTTGCCACTTTGAACAATATTTGGAATCAAGTAAAATATAAAATAAGACAAAAATGTGAGAAAATCGATATACATCATCATGAAAATACATTGGTATTAAAAAAAATGAAAAAAAAGCTGTGAGGATATATTTTCAGTGCATTTTGAGTATACAGACTTTTCCTTTGCAACAGCTAGTTTTATGTTTTGAGGGTCTGAACATTCATGTATTGTTTTATAAGTGCCTGAAGTGAAAAAGGCTTGAGATTAAAAATGAGGCATATCATACTTAAATGAAAAAATATTAACGGTGTGTTACTGTATGATTGTTAATTTGCCATTAAAAAAAGGAAGAAACCTGACCGTAATGCTTTTGCTACAAAGAATACTTTACTTTTGCTGTTTCAAGAATATATGTGAATATTCAATATATTCCAGCAGTGTCTTCTATACTTGTTTGCTAATTTTGTTTGTTAATATACTCAAGTGTTAAAGATTTGTTACTAATGTAAGCACAGTGACATCTGACAAAAATGGCTCTTTTTCACATAGCACTGGGGGAAATGGTGTAAATACAGAAATTTAGAATAAAAACACTGTTTGTGTCTTTATTTCAACATTTTTTTGAAGTTTCAGAAATTCCAGCCATCATTACTTGATTTTTTTTTTAAAAAAAAAACTTTACAGATGTTCTTTTATCATGTTTCCACAGATTTAAATGTCCCTTTCTTTAACCAATTATAGAAATAACTTATAAGAATGGAAAGAAAAGAATCTCTTGAATCTGTATTCAAGCCTTTACAAGAAGAAAGGCAAAAAGAGGAGGAGGAACAGAATATGAATATAGATGTTGATCAAATCTGAAATATGGATAGCTTTGTTATGCTGCATTGGTCTTCCCATTTGCAGCAGATTCAAGTACAGGTGGTCCTGGACTTACAACAGGTCACTTAGTAACCAAAGTTAAAATGGCTCTGAAAAAAGTAAGTTATGACCACTTTTCCACAACGACTGTCACAGCATTCCCATGGTCTCATGATCAAAATTCAGACACTTAGCAACTGATTCATATTTATGAGGGTTGATGTGTGCCAGGGTCATGTGCCCCACATTTTGCATTTTTCTGACAAGCAAAGTCAATGGAGAGGCCAGATTCATTTAACAGCCACATTACTAATTTAACAACTTTCTCTGTTGCGAGAAAGGTCATAAGATGATAGATAGATAGATAGATAGACAGACAGACAGACAGACAGACAGACAGACAGACAGACAGACAGACAACCTTTATTGTCATTTTTTACTGTGGGCACAATGGTACACATTAAAAATGGGGAAAAACTCACCTAATAACTGTCTTGCTTAGCAACAGAAATTTTGCACTCCATTGTGGTTGTAAATTGAGGATTACCTGTATTCAGCATTTTTTGTGCATCCTTCAATTTACAACCAATCACAGTTATGTAGAGGCATCCCCTGCAGGGACTGATGCTTCTACAAAAGGATGGTATAGGCTGGTGGATATGATTTTGTCCACAGAAAACATGGCTTCCTTTCAAAATTGCTGTAATCCTAAAAGTTGTACTAAACATACAGCCGTCAACAGACTTGCAACCTCAATATAGTAAGAAATGGATACATCCGAGACAGATTGTCAGTCATCTAATGGTTGCAAGCAAATCATGAAATGAGTGTATGGGAACCCTCAGCTAATTTTATGATCAGTGCTGTTTTTTAAGGATTTTGCAATAGTTATGGTTATCACTTAAAAACTGGCTGTTCCTTTGAGTCAATACGTAACTATTTTGCTAAAGGAGAATGCAGCATTCCTCTCTCTTCTCCCCCCCCCCAACTTCCTTCTCCAATTCTGGTGCTCTTGCCGTAGATCACATTTCTCATACTAATGAGATTCAATCTCCAGGGAGCATATAGTAATGAGAGTGAGCCACTTTTCATATAAAATTGCCTTTTGTTCTGATTAACAGGTTTGCATACAAAAGCTAATGGTAATTGGAACAGAGAACAAAGATCCAGGGTCATGATAAAAAGGAAATATGGCTATAGACTTGACAGGTTTAGGGTTCTCAACTTCATCCAGCTCCTTTTATTGGTTGCTGTGAACCACCTAGAATACAGTCTGAGGTGGGCAGTCTTTTCTCCTTCTCTCTCTCTCTGTCTCTTTCTGTCTCTTTTTCGGTAAACAGATTAGAATGGGAACAGCTTCTTTTTTCTGGAGCATGGTTCTTGGATCTCCCAAAAACCATCTTCTTCCTTTTTAACCTTCCTGCATGTTGATAGTTTTTGACAGCTCTTTATTATCCAAGTCATTTCCCCCATCTATTGTAAGTAATAAATCCTTCAAACATTATCTGTGCCTCTTCTGTATTGTTGGACATATCCACTTATATATTCTAATACCTGCAACTACCCCAGTGTGGATTATATATATATCCAGGCACAATGGATAAAATAAGATGAGTATCAGTAATCCCTGTGTTTCATAAAGCAGAGGTCCCCAACCTTTTTGGCACCAGGGACTGGTTTCATGGAAGACAACTTTTCAGTGGACTGGGAAGGGATGGTTTCAGTTTTGCT